TGGAAATTCCTTTGCCTGACATCACTGATTTATTAAAACGCCTGGACTTGGTAAATTGTAAACAGAAAACAAGTTTATTACTCACTGCCCTTTCAAATCCTCGCTTTAGATGAACTGTTTCCTCTCTTGGGCAGGCCCCGTAGCTTTCCCATTCCCTTTTAATAGCAGTGAGAGTCTCATTTCAGTAGTTGAGAGTACTTTCAGACCTAGTATTAAAACTTCAGTATTTTCTCCAATTGAAAGCACCTCCCCTTCTTCAGCCTGGGCCAGTCTCAGCCTGGGATGCATGCAGTGGGGGCAGCATAGTCAGTGTCTTCTCTCATTCTCTCTTGGTTCTCCCTCCACTCTAGGGCTGCTGGTTTGGGCCCACACAGTTTTGGGGAGGTGGGAGAAAGGAGAGATGCGAGTGTGGAAGTGTCTTGCCTGCCAGGCACTGCTGTGAAATGACATTGGAAATGGAGGACACACAATCACTGCTCCTTCTTTCATGAGATGCTCTCATCAATTCCATCACAAGGGAAGAAGAGGGGTTAGGCACTACAGCTTGACTTCTCTTGAAACAAACGTAGCCTTTCTTCTAGGGCCTGGATGTGAGTGAAGCACTGAAGCTGGCATAACCAGTTCCAGCAACTCTTTGTATGGTCATATAGGTGGCCTGGTGCATTGTCTCAGGATGTGGGTGCTTGGAACTAAGGTGACCAACCCAACCTAGCTGCTTGGGACTTTCCCAATTTTGCCAATGAAACTCCTGTGTCCTGGGTGCCTCCTTAGTCCTGGGCAGACCAGGACAATTGGTCACCCTATTTGGTACTTATTGAATTGTTCCCAACTATTGGGGCTTGAAGTGAAATTTTGAGATAACAGGAGGAAATTGAAACTCTGTTACACTTACTTCTGGTGGTTATTTATACCAACCATAACAATTATTAGAAATAACTTTAAATTGTATGCTGACCACCATGGTATTTACTAGGGTTTGTGATGGGATTTCAGTGTTGTTAAATGGGTTTCATAGCCCGGGACACAATAATAGTTGAATCCTGCCTTGCTCAGCCACTTTATTTTGGGAGTAAAACACAGAAGTGTTGAATTACGAATTAGTGGATTTAAGCTTCGGATCTCCTTATACCAAGAGCTCCATGGGCTAGAGTGGACTTCAGTGTGTTTCTTTTTTTTTCCCTGAAAATATTAGGCCTAAACAGGTTTGATGAAAAATAAGTCCAGCATACCCACCAGTCCCAGAAAAGATGTAACCAAATAGAAACAGATTGAGAGAAAATAAGAGCAAACTCTGTATTTGCTGGACTGTCTAAGATTGTGGCTAGAGCTTTAGTGCCCAGACTGGGTGGAGTATAGGAGGGGAAAGAGCAGCAAGAATATGACATCTGGATCTCTTCTCACTGTGCTGTGAACATGGACCCACTGGAGAGGAGGGAGGGGTAAGGCAGAGAGACCTGGAGATGTCTTGGCCTTCCAGAGTTCCATTGACATCTTGAATGAGAGAGGATGGGAGGAGAGCCCCTCAGAAAGCCAACCTGTGTGGATGATCTTCTACTGCTGGTGACTCCACCTTCCAGAGGGAAGAAGCAAGAGGGAGCACAAAGATTACTCTGCCTCCTTGAGGACCACATTTCTACCTTTTTAGTAGTTTTTCTTATCCCTTGGCTATTAATACGCCAGCCTCCTACTTTATTACATAAGTTTATCAAACTCTTTTAGAACTCTTGTTTGAGCTCCTATTATCTTGGTTAAATATTAACAGGGTGATAACTTGTAAGATTGAAACTTATTTGATCTTGGGATAAGATCTCTCTAATTATCAATGGTCAGTATTCATATGGCTCAATGGGCCATTTTGGTCTTTAATAAGGGAAAGCCCTATTAATAACTGTTTAGTCTGTCAGCTGAAGAATCACAAGGTTTATAGATTTGGAAAGGAGAACTTTATTTCTCATAAAATGTTGCAGCCTGCAGGGTATCCATTCTGACAGGCTGGGAAGCAGAGCCTCTGGCAAAGACTAGAGACAGGTGCTTTAAGGGAGGGGAGGATGAGATAGGAATTTATGCCGAAGGGGTTAGCTAAGTATATGTATTCAATAGGTTGTAGGAGGAGCTATGAATATTTACAAAGAGGTGGTGCACACATGCACAGTAGGCTAACATGTATGCAACATGTGCCCTATGTTCACTTTGGGGTGAACACTTAACGTTTAAATGTATGACAAGGAGGCCCTGCACATCAAAAGGTGGGGAAGCAGAAGACAGGAAGGCCCTCTGTGCACAGTTTGTATAGACTGGCCAGAGCCACTCTGTGGTCAGTGGCCCCTTATCGGGAAGGAATGCTGGTCGGTTGTTATGTTGAAACTGCAAAAGGGGGAGCAGACATGAGGTCAGTCGAAATTGGCTAGGGACCAAGTCTTTCCAAAGGGCTGGTTCCTGTTTAACCCTCAGGAAAGAAAGCCTACTGGTGGTTAGCGAGGGAAGGGAGTATAACAAGCGTGTGCCTGACCTCTGATCCCATCATGGCTGGAAACTCAATTTTTAAGATTTCTCTGGGGTCCTTTTGGCCGAGAGGGGGTCTGTCCAGTCAGTTGGGGGACTTAAGAATTTACTTTTATTTGTCAAGTCTAAAGATCAGGAAGTGGGGTTATGTTACAAAGCAATAGGTCCACTGTCAGTTTAATTGAAGTAAAGATTCTTTTTACTTTGCTAGCCTAATATGCTTGCAATATGCTTAGAGTTTATAGCATTTAGGACTGAGTAGCCTGGAAAATATTTCCTCATGGGGTCTACACGACCGGGTTCAGATGGCGGCCTTTGAATGGTGGACATTAAACACAAGAAAGAAGGAAAAGTTTATTTTCCTGCCTTAAAAAACAAGATACATTTGAATGATAGTAAACCCTGAGATGCCCACCCACAGCCAATTAACTTGCAAATGGAAGAACATTCTCTCCTATAGCATCTACCAAATCAATCCTTCATTACTATTTGAAATGGAGGTTTTGGAAGACTCAATTCTGCCCACGCCTCTTGGTTAGCTCCCTCTGGTTCGTTCCTTAGAACCTAGTATCTCTGTCCAGGCGTACATGGACACAGCCCTTGGACACGTTTCTATCACTTTCAGCACGAATGTACAAAAGTCATCTCTCAAGGGGATATGTGTGGCATATGTTTCACCTGTGGAGCACCTAATATGGTTTCATTTAACTCACAGAAATATCATTTATTTCTATCTCTCTACTTAAAAAAAAAAACCCTAAAATGACTTCATTTAATTTTGTGGATTTGTCTCATTTTTCTCTGAATATTTTAATTTCTGTAATGAGCATAGTCATCTTCTTGATCTCATATATTTATTGCAAAGATTAAATAAATTAGTAGATGTATAAGTGTTTGGCCTATATTGTTGCTTCAGATATAAGTAAAATGTTAATCTCAATTAGTTTTTTTTTGCTAATGTGGGATATAAAAAAGAAATATAAGGTGAACCTAAGATTAGCTATCTAATTCTTGGTAGCTTAAAGGCTAGGATTTAAATCTTTTTTTGTGCATTAGATAGGCTTTTGGAAAGTTACATTTAAATGCAAAAGTGCTAATATATTCAGTGTAACTGCTCATCTGTGACTATGATCATATTTTTAATTTTCCCAGGGAGAAAGAGACGGAGAGCTAGAATGCTCTTCACTCAGAATAACAAAACCCCACTGAAAAGAGTCCGATCAAAAGGTAAAGAATTCTTGAAGTAAAGATTCTTTTTACTTTGCTGGCCTAATATGCCAGCAAAGAAGAAAAAAGGGATATGCTTTCAATAACCAAACATCTAATTTCCTGTGCTTTACTCTGTATTTTTAGTAATAAACTTACTTCCTAATTGCTTTATGTAGCTGTACTAACTTGAGAAATATATTCAGTTTAGTCATTTTCCAAAAGGTGTCAGGGAGAGAAACAAATAACTTGGTGTTGCATCTACAACCAGGTCCGGGGGCTGCTGCAGTGCTGCCTCCACTGAACCGATAAACTTCAAGGCTGGAAATAGATCATTGCTATACGAAGGGTACAACCTATAAGTTATTTAGTTGACCTCCCTCTTGCTACACAGAAAACCACAGGTTGCATACCAAGTGAACCAGAGTTGCGATCAGAGAGCTGTGTCCTAAGGCTTTTTCTTCCTTTGACTGTGTGGGCTTGGGCCTATCACTTGACTTCTTTTGCCTCAGTCTCCTCATCTGGAAAGCAAGAGGGTGAATTCGGCCAATCATCCTTCATAGTCCATCCTAGTCCTAGCAGTGTACTTTTCTCAAAATCAGTCTCAGGATGAAGGACAGTCCACACCCCCACTCCCCCCACCCAACGTGGCCTCTATGACTTTGATTGGAAGGGCAGGATTAGTGGCTCATCCTCCTGGAGTTCCTTTGAAGACCATTCATCATTACTTCTGTGAAATCAGGTCTCCAACCCTTGCTCTCCCACCATATAATCTTCAGATTATTCTAGAGCTCCCTGAGCTCCTCTCTCAGCTGCAAAGAAAGCAGACACAAGGGAGAAATGAAGCAAAGCAGAGACAAAAATGGAAGGCAGACACCATCTCCATTAGGTTACCCTGTCATTACCCTCTCCCGGCCTCCCTGTTCTCCCAGTCAGTGCTCAAATGTGGAGATGTGAGTACAGTCTCTGGCTACCTAACTGCAGCCAAACAGCATAGCTGGAGAGTTTCCGTCAGAACAGTGACAGCGGCTGTATGTTTCATTGTCATTTAAGAATAAGTGGGGCTTACTAGATTGGGAATTAAAACAGTTTTATTAAAGCCTAATTGCTCTGCTAACGCATTCTATTTTGTGTAAAATTTGAGGGGTGAAATTGGGGTAGACGTTCTGTAGTTATGCATCAAAAATGCCACTTGAAAGAAAGATTTTGAAACTCTAGAGCTTTGTGGAATAGAGTTTCCCAAGGACTCCTGTGTCTTCATAGGAATGACCTCAATAAGGGAGGAGGGGGCTTATGCATTTGCAAAGTGAGATGGAATGAAGAAATCCTCTCTTTCAGCCTCAAGAATGCGTGGATATGAAACTGTGGATTTTCAGGCTCCTTCACTTCCTGTGACCTGTGGTGAGGAAAAGGGTATTTTACATAAGAATAAATTGAAACAAGGTGAGTTTCATGGTCTTTAATTTGTAACTCCTATCTAAAGACATCACAAGAACTGGTAGAATTACTCATGTGAATCACACATCATTCAAGGACTTTGGGTCCCAGTTTGGCTTGACAGAAGGAGAAAGGACTGTCTAAGATGACATTTTCACACTTTAAGAAATCACACATGTTAGATGTTCACTCCCACATGGCTGTGTCCTTGGAAGTGACAAAAGAACCAAAGAGAAGTGCAGAAACTTCCATGCATAGATGGAAAACATCGTACGTTTTACGTTGGATCAGACATAAAAGGGACCAGGCCCTCAGCCTTTACCTTTATAACCTCTCTCCGTTCTGGATCATTGTCACCAAGGCAGGGCGCTTGACATAGTGAGAAGATCACAGAATTTAGAATTAGGAAACCTGAGTTCCATCCTTAGCTATGCCAAGAGTGACTGTTGTTTTGTGAGTAGAGAAGGTGACCTTTGTGAGTCTGAAATTTCTTATCTGAAAAAGGTAACAATAATGAAAAACCTGCCTCCTGATGTAGCTGTTAAAATCAATTTACGTATTGACATAAAACATTTTGTGATTGTAAATTCTAAAACTTTGCAAAAAATGTCTATTATGATAAACTTCGTCTTGTCCCTCTCTTAAATATGGCTCTTCGAACACCAATTAATATGTATGTTTGCATTGTGACTATTTTTTAAACAGCTTTACTAAAATTCACATATCATACAATTTACCACTTAGAGAGTATAAATCAATGGGGATTTTTTTTTTCATATATGCATAGGATTGTACAACCGTCACCACAATCTAATTTTAGAAGATTTTTGTCCCCCACTAACGGAAATCTCATGCCATTAGCAGTCAATGGCCATCCCCACCCCTAAACAATCACTGATCTATTTTCTGCTCTATAAATTTGCCCATTCTAGGCGTTATACATAAATGAAATCTTATAATACATGCCTTTTCGTGACTGGCTTCTTTCACTTCCCATGATGTTTTCAAAATTCATCCATGTAGCAGCATGTATTAGTACTTCATCCTTTTTATTGACAAATAATGTAATAGACCATTGTATGGCTGTACCACATTTTGCTTATCCATTTATCAGTTTGAGTTATTTTCACTCTTTGGCTGTTATAAATAATGCTGTTTTGAACATTCATGTACAAGTTTTATGTGAATATATGTTTTCAATTATATGGGGTATATACCCAGGAGTGGAATTGCTGGGTCATATGGCAATTCTATGTTTAACTTATTGAGGAACCACCAAACCATTTTCCACCAAAACTGCACCATTTTATTTATTTATTTTTATTTTTTTATTTTTTGAGACAGAGTCTGGCTCTGTTGCCTGGGCTAGAGTGCCGTGGCTTCAGCCTAGCTCACAGCAACCTCAATCTCCTGGGCTCAAGCGATCCTTCTGCCTCAGGCTCCCAAGTAGCTGGGACTACAGGCATGCGCCACCATGCCTGGCTAATTTTTTCTATATATATTTTTTTAGTTGTCCAGATAATTTCTTTCTATTTTTAGTAGAGACGGGGTCTCGCTTTTGCTCAGGTTGCTCTCGAACTCCTGACCTTGAACGATCCACCCACCTCGGCCTCCCAGAATGCTAGGATTACAGGCGTAAGCCACCACACCTGGCCTACCATTTTATATCCCCACCAGCAATGTATTATAAAGGCTCCAATTTCTCTACATACTCACAACACTTGTTATTGTCTGTCTTTTTTATTACGGCCATCCAGTGGGTATGAAGTGGTATCTCGTTGTGGTTTTGCCTTGCATTTTGCTAATGATTAATGATATTGAGCATGAGAGTAACTGCTGGATGACATTTCACAATTGTTTTTTAATATTGGATACCCACGATTGCAGGGATGGGAAAATCTCTGCTCAATAATGCCATTAAACTGGATGAAAATGTAATAGAGGGTGCGTATGTTGCTGTGGTGACCCCCTGAGTCACAGGGGACCACCCATCTGAGACCTCAGCCCCAACTTGAGGATTCTGCCTCCACATTGCCCCTGAGCCATCAGGAGACTCTGGCCTGGCCTCCACCCCCAGAATTCAACAGCGAATTGAAACTCTCTCCTCCTTTATAATCACTGGCTTTTCCTTTTATGAGTGATTTTGAAATACTTTTAAAAGATTGCTCTTAATGATAATTATCACTTTCTTCAGGTATGAAGGTCAAAGAAACGTGTAACTGCACCAGGAAATCACCCTTGAGGGGATTTTCAGGCTGGGTTTGGGGCCCCTGAAGTCTGAAAGGGGAGGCCAGACTCTCTTGCCATCGATCTTGGTCACAATTTGAGTGGCTCTAGGACCCATGTGGTGGTGATGGTGGGGCTATATTCTGAGCTCTGGGGACAAAGAGGACTCAGGATTAACTTACCCTGGCCTTACAGGAGCCTGGGTGAAGTGCATACAAGGTGAAGATGGAAATTGGTTGACCCCCGGGGAATTTGAAATCAAAGGTGGCCACGCAAAAGCAAAATCCTGGAGGATGAGTGTGCGCTGTGGCGGGTTGCCCCTACGAAAGCTGATGGAGGTATTCCAGCAACAAGGGGCGGAGGCGAGACGTGTCCTTCTTTGTTGTACCCTAATAATAAGGTCACTTTTTGTTCTCCAAATAGTTGTTGCGTTATAAATAAAGCCATGATGCCAGTGAGTTTATCCTCTCACCCAGGCGAGAAAGAGGATTCATCACCACAGCACAATGCAGTGTGTCAGTGTGGTAAAAGGTGCTCAGTCAGGAGAGATGCAGGAGCTTCGAGGAGGGAAAGGTCATCCTGACGAGGGTGCATGCAGATAATTTGTGCACTGAAAGAAAGTTCTTAGAAAATCAATAGTCAAACAAGTGGAAGAAGATACTCCACAGAAAGAATGGCCTGAAAACCAGAACCATGGCAGAAGTAGCTCTGTGGATTTAGGTAGATTGTGTGCAAAAAGGCATAATCCATCAATTAGTGTCATTCATAGAGAGCTCTAATGCCAGGCTGAGAAGTTCAAACTCATCATCTAGACAACAGGAAATCAGTGAAATCTTCTGAGGCTGGAAATGGCATTTAAAACAGTATTTTAGATAGCCATGGGGCTTTGGAATGACTTCACTATCTCTGCACCTAGCAAACCTATACTCAGTCTACAATGATCAACTCAAATGTTACCCCTCCCTGAATATTCACCAACTGACCTGGCCCCTGGTCATCTTTCCCCTGGGCTCCCTAAGCCCAATACTAAGACCGTATTACACTGCCTTATGTTTATCCTTCCAGCAGTTCTCTTTTTCTCTCCAGACCCCTCTAGCTCTGTCCATCTTTGTGTGCCCAAGATTGATCAGAGTGGCTGACACCCAATAGGTGTGCAATAACTGTGTGTTGACTGGTTAGCCCTTGTGTAGGGACTCTAGCCAGAGTGTCGCTGGTAGGAATGGAAAAGAGGTGATAGGTGTATGAGAGATTGTGAGGAAAGACCTCTTAGGACTTAGGAAAGAAGCACAAGAGGAGGGGAAATGGTTCTAAAGATGATTTTCCAGCTTCCATTGATTAAAATCTAGAAGTAGTACAGGAATACAGGTGAGGAGAGGGAGATGGTTTCTCAGTTAGACACCATGGGTTTGAGCTGTTTAGGTGGAACATCCAGGTAGAAATATTTGGGAGGTGGTGGGAAATGCCTGAATCATAAAACAGAAGCAAAGCCTGACCTGGATCTTTTTATCTTTCAGAATGGATTTCTACCTAATCCTCCACGAATATATTGGGGGAAAAAAAAGGTGATTATCACATAACTTTCTACAGGTTCTTGTCACAAAACTGATTTTGCATGTACAGCATCTTATTTTATGGGCTTTCGATTGGGTGAGTATAATTAAGCTTCCACCTTCTCCAGTTCCTTCAGAGTTGCTACTTTGAACACTATGTTGTATATAAAGCGAGGTCTTTTTTGAATGTTAAACCAGTTGAGGTGGAGATGACAAGGAGCCATCAAAGTAGACCTCCCAGATGTGTTGTAGAAATAGATGTAGATGTTTTAAGGGTGCCAGAGTCAGAAGAGCAAACACAATCATGGAATACATAAAAATATTCCATGATAAGGTGAGAAGATCATTTTCAACTCAAACCCAGATTTTTTCATTAATTTCACTATTTTCTAACTTCAATGAAATCTGATGAAGCAAGAGTTTGCTCAGTCATTTGGTACATATATGAAACTACATATCATTTCATGAAATAAGCAATAAAAAGAACATTTCTTTTCTGGTCCTTCACATTCTCTTCTACCTTTCCATAAAATATACATGCAGTCACACTCAAGGGGAAATTATTTGCCCTTCATGAGGATGGTGCTATTGCGGAGAAAGGTCTTGGGAGGTAGAAGTATTTTATAGGAAGGACTGACCTCTTTGGCTCCACCAGAGGGGCTGTGCAGACCACCTTTCATCTGTGAAAGTGATTTTTCTCTCTGTTGAAGAAGGCAACAAACAAACAGGTTATGCACAGTGTAGATTCAGGACAAGGTGATGTTTTTTTTTCAAGACTGAGGAAGGGAGGGAGAGGAAAAGTGTCATCCTTATAAACTTTAGGTAGAAATATCCATCCAAGACATTCATAGACTTCTAAAACAGCTCACACGTAACTAGCCACTGGAATTCATATTCCACTGGAATTTTGAGATCCAGGCCTTTAAATTATCTGATGTTCTGGCTGATTTGAATTCTCAGCCACTGGGACATTTCATCCACTGGGTTTCCTGAAGGGAAATTATTATTTGACTATTCAGTGAGTACACTAAAGAGCAGCATCTCTGCCTTTCCCCAGGTGTCAAAAGTAACCCAGCTGGAAACTTCCAGCAACAGAATCTACCTTTATTTATGAGTGCAACGCTTTGCAACAACAAGCTGCAGTTGCTTTTATATTTTGTGTCTCCTCATAGGCAAGAACAGAGGATCTCCAAAGTGGCAGATCCCAGGATCCATTCCTATCTCCATGGATCTTCTGCCCCTCTCAGAACTTCTCTTGCTTTCAGAGCCACTTGCTTTCTAGAAACTTCAGTGTCACTATCAGCACCACATGACAGCTTATTGGCTCATAATGAGGGCCATTTAAACCTTCTAGTGATAGCTGAGGTGCTTTAAGATGATCTGATATATACACCCAGAACCATCACTTATTGTGTGCTAATATTTGCTTAAGCAGCTCCAGTAATCTCTAAGTGAAACAATATTCATTTATTCACCCATTCAACATGCTATATAATTATTAAGCACATACTAAATGCTTAATGGCTGTTAGAGAATATTGAAGTCCAGGGTTGTTTCAGTTTTATTGTAAACATGAATGAATAACTAATGAGGTGGGGTAGAGATTCTAGGACAGTCAGAGAGGCAGGCAGTGACAAGGTCACCTCTCAGGTGATTATTCCTTGGATCACACTTGTCTTTGGCCTTTCTGCCCTGGGCTAGGTGTAAAGACTGAGGCTTCTGCATTACAGAAGGGAAGGATGCCAAGACATGCTATTGGATATTCAAAAGCAAAATAAATGAATCTAGTGGGTTACCTCTGAAAACTCATCCAGCCTGATATTTTCTTGGGATTTCCATAGAGGGGAGGGGAGGAGACCTTCAGGAAGAAGAGCTGCAGCACTGGGGACCTTGGAAGTGTTTTATCTTCAGGGCTGTGTCCCTAGCAGAGCTGCAGAAAGCAGTGGAGTTTTCTTTGGGACACTTGCATGCCTCCAGGACTCTGGGCTCTGTGGTGACAAGGGGTTTAGTCCTCAACCGGATTCCCATGGCAGCCCCTCTGGGTGGGATGACAAATCCTGGGCAGCCAAGGTGAAGAGAGTTGCTTGAGGGCCCCTCAGAGTAAGAGGACAAGTAGAGTTTCTCCAACTCGGCCTGTGGAAACCAGGGCCAGACTCCCTACACAGCTTCACAAAGGCCCATCTTGGGTCTGAGAGCCTGGGAATGGAACTTTCATTGGGCCAAACAGTGGTACTTTGGAACTTTTTATTCTCTTAGTAGATATACAGGTCTATAAAATTAGGTATGAAATAAAGGGTAGACTGTGTTAAAAAAAAAACAAAACAACTTTAGACAAATAAACTTAACAGAATTTATTTGAGCAAAGAGAAATTCATGAATCAGGCAGCACTCAGACCAGAAGAGGTTCAGAGATTTAGAGAGCTCTCCTACAGCAGCCTAGACAGTGAGGCTGACATGGGAGTAAACAAAGAAAATCTATTTGATTGGTTAGAGCAGAAAGACCCTAATTAGAGTTTAGCTGGCAGTTTCTGACTGGCAAAGACTCTAGTTTCATTTTACTGTTTACATTGGGCTTTGGTTTGCTTACATAGTAACTTAAAGTGCTGCAGTCACCCCAGCCTAATGGTATCCCCCACCCCAATGTTTTTTTTTTTTGAGACAGAGTCTCCCTCTGTTGCCCTGGCTAGAGTGAGTGCCATGGTGTTAGCCTAGCTCACAGCAACCTCAAACTCCTGGGCTCAAGAGATCCTACTGCCTTAGCCTCCTAAGTAGCTGAGACTACTGGCATGCGCCACCATGCCCAGCTAATTTTTTTTATATATTTTTAGTTGTCCAGATAATTTCTTTCTATTTATTTTTTATTTTTTTACTAGCGATGGGGTTTCACTCTTGCTCAGGCTGGTCTTGAACTCCTGAGCTCAAACAATCTGCCTGCCTCGGTCCCCCAGAGTGCTAGGATTACAGGCGTGAGCCACCGCGCCCGGCCCCTCACCTCAATTTTTTTAACAATTGTTTTTTGAAACTCTCAAAAGATGACTATTTAAGTGATAGATGCAAACATTACATCCAGTATTGTCATTAATTTTTTTTTCTTTTCAGCAGAGGATACTGCAGTCTCACGACGTTACCTTAGGTGACCCTTATGCAAGTATCAATTCCCAGCTATGACCCCAGAATAGTCTAGGCCTTTCCCCAGGCACATGATCAGTGTCATTTCTGCTTTCCCTGAAGCATGCTCACTCTCAGTTGGAGCATGTCACTGTGTGTGATAAGCAAAGCATAGCAGGTACATCACCTAAGCCAGGAGGATGGGTCTGGGGTCGGTGTCTCAGTGGAAAGCATCCTTTCTATTTGTTTCCATGGAAACCTTCCCATTTACTCATTTCCTCTGGACAATGAGTATTGGAGGGTGAGCTCTAGACCACTGTGGTCTCTAGAGATGGAGTATGAAGTGGTAATGGGCAGGACTGGCCTGCTGACCAGGGGCAGGA